TTGAGCTGTGATAAACGCTGGCCTGAAGCCATCTGAAATCAGTTAATTAACTGTGTGTGTGTGTGTGTGTGTGTGTGTGTGTGTGTGTGTGTGTGTGTGTGTGTGTGTGTGTGTGTGTGTGTGTGTGTGTGTGTGTGTGTGTGTGTGTGTGTGTGTGTGTGTGTGTGTGTGTGTGTGTGTGTGTGTGTGTGTGTGTGTGTGTGTGTGTGTGTGTGTGTGTGTGGGTGGGTGCACCTGTGGCGTTGCAGGGATGTCTATAATCAGGTTAATAGGAACAGGAAATGGGGAGCAGAGGAAGTGCAGAATGAGCGAGGGAGGAACCGAGGGGATAATATTTCTTGGCTGGGATCCCTGAGCATGACTCTGCAGCTCTCTCTCTTTCCCTGTCTGTCGGGAAGTAAAGAGCTTAACCTCGAATGAAATCTATGGGATGATGGGGAGAATATGACTGCACGATGACTGGCAGCCAGAGGTGGGAAGTAGTGGAGTACAAATACTTCGTTACTGTACTTAAATAAATTGTTCTGGTATCAGTACTTTACTCCACAAATACCTGTACTTTCTACTTCTTACATGTTGAACACAAATACCTGTACTTTCTACTTCTTACATGTTGAACACAAATACCTGTACTTTCTACTTCTTACATTTTGAACACAAATACCTGTACTTTCTACTTCTTACATGTTGAACACAAATACCTGTACTTTCTACTTCTTACATTTTGAACACAAATACCTGTACTTTCTACTTCTTACATGTTGAACCCAAATACCTGTACTTTCTACTTCTTACATGTTGAACACAAATACCTGTACTTTCTACTTCTTACATGTTGAACACAAATACCTGTACTTTCTACTTCTTACATGTTGAACACAAATACCTGTACTTTCTACTTCTCACATTTCCCAAACAGGCTGGTTCCTTTAGTTTGAATGTGTGTTTGGTGGCGTGATCATTATTATTTAGAGTCATTGCGTGCCTATTGATTTGAACACGATCCGTGTATCCATCATTTCCTGGTCTTCCCTAAAGAAGAGGGACCAATGAAAACGTTGCTAGTTATGGGTACTTTTTACTTAAGTACATTTCAAAGCCCTCTGTACTTTCACTTGAGTAAAGAAGTTTAGTCAGTACTTCTACTTTCACCAGAGTATTTTTAAACACGAGTATCTGTACTTCTTCTTGAGTAAGGATGTGGGTACTTTTGCCATCTCTGCTAGCAGTGGGGTTTTTATAAGTCCAGGGAGAGGGGCTGCTAACAGACCCTGATGCATGCAGTCTTTAAAGCCTTCTGAAGTCATGGTCTATAGAAGTGCACTGATCCAAGTATGTCCTGTTAGCAGGTGGTGTTATTTCTGTCTCTGTTTACACTCGTTTATATCTTGGGAAGTTACCTACACCATTGAACAAGATGTTTTTATGTGACTTGCTAGGCAGGTATTTATCAAAGCTTTATTTGTCTGATGAAGCGGTAAGAATGCAAAAAAAAAGTTTGGGTTACAGGGTACATAAAGCATAACATATGTATCTTAAAGATGTTTTGTATTATTATCACTACGATCGATCACTTCAACATAAACTAGTTGGTACTAAGAGTTAGCTCCATACTCATAATGAAAACGCTAACATGCTATGCTTAGCAGGTAGACTATATTCACTATCGGCATTACGTGTGTTACACATAGTGAAGCTAAGGTAATGCAAATGTCATTATTTGTGGATGTTTTTGGCCATAAACCGAGTATTGGACACATGTTGATTTTGTGAAAAGTCACAGGATCTAAAGTTCAACCTCGAGTGAGTGTAACAAGTGTGTAGCAATGCATTCAGAAAGTTGTTGGGATAGTTCACTAAAACAAAAAATGTGAACCTTATGGTCTACTACGGAAAATTAAGAACATTACTAAAGCTGTTAGGGTGCATCCTCTGGGGAACATGCGCAAAATGTCATAGCAAAAGTTGTTTAGATATTTCACTCAGAATTTGAAATATCAACCTTGTGGTGGTTTTCAAGGCAACTGAAGAGCACCCAAGTTGGTAGGGTCTATCCTCTGGGCCCAGTAGTTCTCAATCAGATCCGATCAGATTTTGAAATCCCATTTTCTGTGATCCAGGATCAGACAACTCGGACACATTTTGTCCCAGTATTTCAAAGCAATTCAGGATAGGATCACCCTGATCCAGATTCAGACTTTTCAAGATGACTAGATCCTGAATATCAGTGCTTTAATCCTACCGATCTCCATCTAATGGATATGAAAAATAATACAAGGAAGACAAGAGACCACGTTGGCAGAGACATCTATTGTCCGCAATTACTTTTGAAAGGTGATATTTTTTCGCCCCGAGCCTGTTTTTCAGGTTTCAGGCTCGAAAATGACATGCCCAAAACAAATGACTACAACTTCACTTCTAAAAGGGTTATATGAATAATTTCTTTTATCAAAGCAAGGTTACATCTGTGAGTTGGATGTAGAAGTGTCAGAATCAATATAGATGTTTCTCAGTCAGAGTAAATTCAGATGGAACATAGTAAAAAAAGGTAAATTCTTACCTCCGCCTACAAAAAACCCATTACTTATAGTGAAAACCACCCTTGGATGATGGGTTAGTAGACTAAAAGCTTTAGGAATCCAAACTATAACATATAATAAGTACCCTGTATCAAGATTGAGGCAAAACAAGTTAAATTTGACCTTTTTAGAGAGATTTAGAAAAAAAAAGTTCCAGGCGGAATAGGCTTTCGGCACATTTGGGTACATCTGGTTCCATCAGTGCCATTTGACCTTTTTCAGGTACCAGACTATAAAAATGATGTATTACATTGAATTATCACCATAGGTATTCATTCCATTCAAAGAAAAACAAATTAAATTAAAAAAATTAATAAAAAATTAAAAAATTAAAAAAACACTTTTTTTTTTTTAATTTGTGGAAGAAAAAAAAAGACCCGCCGAGGGGGGCTTTGGGGCTTAACCTGTTAATCTAAATTACATTTGTGATTGACAATCTTTGTTGTGATAATTTTATGAGCATAAACATTTATATCATCAACATTTGGTTGAAAACAAAATAGGCCACCACAAACGTGACCAAAAAATGAAAAATAAAATGTATTTCCCATGAAGGCTAAAAATGGTGTATTATTTTAGTTAACAAACTTTGCCATCTTATTTATATTGAAACATATTTTAAAATAAATTGTACAGTACATTTTGCGCTGGTAATCCACTGGAAATCCACCCCTCTGGTGGGTTCAAGATAATCCAGTTTTTTGGGATCAAACTGATGCCAATCCTGTGTTGTCGGTTTGAACCCGTTTTGAAGTTTTGATCCAGATTAAAGCTTGGATTTGATTTCCTGATCTGATCTGTTTTATCAAAGTGATCCTAATCCTGTTTTTTGGTTTTGAACTACACAAAATCCAAATCTGATCCGATCAGATATTAAAAGTTTTGAACTACTGGGCCCTGGGGAACATGAATGTCTGCACCCAATGTCAAAGCAATCCATCCAAAAGTCGTCCATATATTTCAGACTGCACTAAAATGATGCACTGTCTGAGCAGCATCCTCTCTTGGCATAGATACAAAATCCATAATGACTCTTCAGACACAACCCAGACTCCATTTGGTCTCTTTATTCTCCTTTAGGGTCGGACACATTAGCTCCAGATCGCCCTCCTCACACGCTTGTTATTGACTCTCCATGTATGTGTTCTGTGTGTCTGCATGATCTCTTTTTCTCCTCTGCACTCCCTCACAAGTCGAATAAATTACTCTGCAGGAATTCCCTCGCACAGTGGGCATAAAGAGTGTCATTGTGGCGCGTTTACAATGAGACTCGCTTGGGTTTATATCGAGAGTCTGTGAAATAAACTCCGCTCGGAGACAGACGGTCCATCGGAGACAGGAAGACATTTGTCCTGCCGGTCAGAGCAAACGCTTCACACTGACGGATGAAATTCCTCCAGTGGCCTCCAAAATGACGTGTGTGTGAGTGTGTGTGTGTGTGTGTGTGTGTGTGTGTGTGTGTGTGTGTGTGTGTGTGTGTGTGTGTGTGTGTGTGTGTGTGTGTGTGTGTGTGTGTGTGTGTGTGTGTGTGTGTGTGTGTGTGCGTGCGTGCGTGATATCGTCACACAGTTCAGCCTTCATACTGTATCAGTACACAATATGTCTATTTCTCATTAGATTTATATCAATATTTTGGCTCAATTATCAAAATATGTATTATTTATTACGTTATTCTGTAACTAGATCTGTTTATTTGTGATTTCCGTCTTGCATCCTGACATTTTTATAAATATTTATTAATAATGTCGGTCCATGCCAGACTTCTACTTAATGAAATATCTTTCTTAGAAGATAAATAAACAAGTATCTTATTTCATATTGGAGTATTTATGAATAGAGCTGGGTGACATGGGGAATTTATATTTATTATATTTTTGAACAAATTCCCAATATTGTATGGTTGACATTTTGCGCTAAAAGCATATAATAAAAAAAGATTTTCGGTAAATAATCTGGTAAAAAATGCAAATAAATTAAATCAAAATGTTGTTTTTTTTATGTCAAATTGAATACATCAGATTCTTATTTCAGTGTTGGAATATCAACAAGTAGACCTGGGCTGTATCAAATATCAAATATCACCATTTTTTTTAAATATTTAAATGATTACTGCGATGACACTTTACTGTAGGATCGACTCAATAAATATATTTAAATATGATATTATTGAATAATTCTCAATAATGGAAATAGAATGTCTTAGTAGGTCAGGTACTCTTTAAAACAGCTGGTAGTTATGGGTACTTTTTACTTAAGTACATTTCAAAGCCCTCTTTACTTTGACTTGCGTAAAGAAGTTTAGTCAGTACTTCTACTTTTACCAGAGTATTTTTAAACACGAGTATCTGTACTTCTACTTGAGTAAAGGATGTGTGTACTTTTGCCATCTCTCTAACCTGTGGTCTCTCCTCCTCTCTGCAGCGCTGCTGTCCTGCGTCTTCTCCTTCAACGTGGACTCGAAGAACTCTTTGTCGTTCGACGGTCCGCTGGAGGACATGTTCGGGTACACCGTGCAGCAGTTTGAGAACAGCGAGGGGAAATGGTGAGCATCGAAATCTATCAGCACTAAATCATCTCCTCCTCCACTCACAGACACAGAAACACAAGAGGCTGTGATGGTGATTTAACTGCACTGTAGGCAAAAGTACACACTTCCTTTACTCAAGTAGAAGTACAGATACTCGTGTTTAAAAATACTCTGGTAAAAGTAGAAGTACTGACTAAACTTCTTTACTCAAGTCAAAGTAAAGAGGGCTTTGAAATGTACTTCAGTAAAAAGTACCCATAACTAGCAGCTGTTTTAAAGAGTACCTGACCTCCCTTTATATTAATAGAACAATAATGTCATTGTTAGATAATGAATGTTTCCATGCTGAACAACGGCAACATGACAACGTTTTCATTGGTCCCTCTTCTTTAGAGAAGACCAGGAAATGATGGATACACGGATCGTGTTCAAATCAATAGGCACGCAATGACTCTAAATAATAATGATCACGCCACCAAACACACATTCAAACTAAAGGAACCAGCCTGTTTGGGAAATGTGAGAAGTAGAAAGTACAGGTATTTGGGTTCAACATGTAAGAAGTAGAAAGTACAGGTATTTGTGTTCAACATGTAAGAAGTAGAAAGTACAGGTATTTGAGTTCAACATGTAAGAAGTAGAAAGTACAGGTATTTGTGTTCAACATGTAAGAAGTAGAAAGTACAGGTATTTGTGTTAGAAATGTAAGAAGTAGAAAGTACAGGTATTTGGGTTCAACATGTAAGAAGTAGAAAGTACAGGTATTTGTGTTAGAAATGTAAGAAGTAGAAAGTACAGGTATTTGGGTTCAACATGTAAGAAGTAGAAAGTACAGGTATTTGGGTTCAACATGTAAGAAGTAGAAAGTACAGGTATTTGTGTTCAACATGTAAAAAGTAGAAAGTACAGGTATTTGTGTTAGAAATGTAAGAAGTAGAAAGTACAGGTATTTGGGTTCAAAATGTAAGAAGTAGAAAGTACAGGTATTTGTGTTCAACATGTAAGAAGTAGAAAGTACAGGTATTTGTGTTCAAAATGTAAGAAGTAGAAAGTACAGGTATTTGGATTCAAAATGTAAGAAGTAGAAAGTACAGGTATTTGTGTTCAACATGTAAGAAGTAGAAAGTACAGGTATTTGTGTTCAACATGTAAGAAGTAGAAAGTACAGGTATTTGTGTTCAACATGTAAGAAGTAGAAAGTACAGGTATTTGTGTTCAACATGTAAGAAGTAGAAAGTACAGGTATTTGTGTTCAACATGTAAGAAGTAGAAAGTACAGGTATTTGTGTTCAACATGTAAGAAGTAGAAAGTACAGGTATTTGGGTTCAACATGTAAGAAGTAGAAAGTACAGGTATTTGTGTTCAACATGTAAGAAGTAGAAAGTACAGGTATTTGTGTTCAAAATGTAAGAAGTAGAAAGTACAGGTATTTGGATTCAAAATGTAAGAAGTAGAAAGTACAGGTATTTGTGTTCAACATGTAAGAAGTAGAAAGTACAGGTATTTGTGTTCAACATGTAAGAAGTAGAAAGTACAGGTATTTGAGTTCAACATGTAAGAAGTAGAAAGTACAGGTATTTGAGTTCAACATGTAAGAAGTAGAAAGTACAGGTATTTGTGTTCAACATGTAAGAAGTAGAAAGTACAGGTATTTGTGTTCAACATGTAAGAAAGTAAAAAGTCGTCAGACAAATAAGTAGTGGAGTGAAGTACTGATACCAGAAACATGTACTTAAGTACAGTAACGAAGTATTTGTACTTCCCACCTCTGTCAAACACAAACTGGTTATTTTGCTCTAGTGGTTTTTAGAACTCTTAACCACTAAATTCCCATCAGTATTGTTTCAGAGAGCCAAAAAAGTTATATTAAACCAAGCTCAGTTTAATTTTAAACCACAGCATTAACAGGACCCTTCATTAACCTGTAAAAAAGTAGATCCGCCAGCTTCAGCAGTAATGAGGCTCCTTCTCTTTACTGCTGCTGTTAACCTCAGTCTCCACACCGAGCTGTAAACACTGAAACCAAGCATCCACAGCGCCGTGCTTAAACTGTGTGGGAGAACATTTAAGAACCCCTCGTTAAAATCTATCACAGTGCGGTTATTGGCACATCTCTCCTTCGGTTACTCAGGAGTTTATTTCTCAAACCTGTTGCAACACACGGCGGGTTTTCCCACGTCGTACCTCATATTTTTCTGATCTTATCCACGTCATCTGAGTTCAGTTACAATACCTCACTCGGCGTTAATCAGCGCAGCCAGCTGTTCCCCGAAAACACATAAGTGGCGTTTAGTTCCAGTTCAAAACAAAGTCAAACTCAAAGAAATGATAAGAGTGTGATTAAAGAACAATATGGGGGAGGTATGGAGGACTAAAGCTGCCAGTTAATTTGTTTTCATCAGCAGGAGAGGACTCTTTAAAGTAGAGACACTACATACTGATATAGACCTGAACATCAGCAGGAGAGGACTCTTTAAAGTAGAGACACTACATACTGATATACACCTGAACATCAGCAGGAGAGGACTCTTTAAAGTAGAGACACTACATACTGATATACACCTGAACATCAGCAGGAGAGGACTCTTTAAAGTAGAGACACTACATACTGATATACACCTGAACATCAGCAGGAGAGGACTCTTTAAAGTAGAGACACTACATACTGATATACACCTGAACATCAGCAGGAGAGGACTCTTTAAAGTAGAGACACTACATACTGATATACACCTGAACATCAGCAGGAGAGGACTCTTTAAAGTAGAGACACTACATACTGATATACACCTGAACATCAGCAGGAGAGGACTCTTTAAAGTAGAGACACTACATACTGATATACACCTGAACATCAGCAGGAGAGGACTCTTTAAAGTAGAGACACTACATACTGATATACACCTGAACATCAGCAGGAGAGGACTCTTTAAAGTAGAGACACTACATACTGATATACACCTGAACATCAGCAGGAGAGGACTCTTTAAAGTAGAGACACTACATACTGATATACACCTGAACATCAGCAGGAGAGGACTCTTTAAAGTAGAGACACTACATACTGATATACACCTGAACATCAGCAGGAGAGGACTCTTTAAAGTAGAGACACTACATACTGATATACACCTGAACATCAGCAGGAGAGGACTCTTTAAAGTAGAGACACTACATACTGATATACACCTGAACATCAGCAGGAGAGGACTCTTTAAAGTAGAGACACTACATACTGATATACACCTGAACATCAGCAGGAGAGGACTCTTTAAAGTAGAGACACTACATACTGATATACACCTGAACATCAGCAGGAGAGGACTCTTTAAAGTAGAGACACTACATACTGATATACACCTGAACATCAGCAGGAGAGGACTCTTTAAAGTAGAGACACTACATACTGATATACACCTGAACTATTTTTATTTATTTTTAACTTATTCTACTCTTTCAACAATTAGACAGTTTATACATCCGTAAAACAAACACAAATTAGTAGAAGCTAATAAAATATCAAATAAACGCTCAGGTTGTTAAGTATAAATGCATTTTTTAAAATATGTTATATGAGGAATTACTTATTTTAAATGCATTTATTGTTCTATATAATTTCTTCCCAATTTCTATTTATTTGCTAATTCCTTTCCTTTGGGATATATATTTATTTATTTCTTAATTCCTTTCCTTATTTATATATATATATATATATATATATATATATATATTTTATTTAATATATGTTTTTATTATTTTTCACATTTATTTATTTCCTTTTTTCATTCTTTTATTTCTTCATTACTGTGTTTATTTAATAAATACAAAAATATGAATGAATTAAATGAAGGTAATCAATGGGGATGTGCACGAATTGGGAAATAATTGAATAAGACAATAACAAATAAAAACTTCAATATGTCCAAAATCCAACTCTTAAATACTTCAAAAAAGCTCTAATAATTAAATGTTTGCATTTCTTTTTTTTGGTTATTTAATTATGAATTGTATATATTTGTATGTGCAGCTTTAGTCCTTCATAGACAGAGACCAAGAGCAAAAAAAAGAGGTGGAAAATGAAGAAATAAAACAGAATGATGGAGGAGGTCTCAAAGAGAGGAACAGGGGAGGGGAGCAATACAATTAGAGATGAAATGTAGCCTCAGTAAAATCTCTCTGTAACGTCCGGGAGACAGACGGTACCACAACTGGGAGGTGGTGATTAGTCACAGATGTCTCCCACACACACACACACACGCACACACACACACACACGCACACACACACGCACGCACGCACACACACACGCACGCGCACACACACACACGCACGCACGCACGCACGCACGCACACACACACACACACACCCTCCTTCCTCTCTCTTCCATCACAATTCCCCTGGCACAGATATCAGAGAAATGCCATGATGATGTTGAGTCAGCCCCAAAATGTCCTCTACAAACAAACTCATTATTGCTTGTTTAAAGAGAGCCATCGAGATAATGTTGCCACGATCAAACAAACAATCTAATGGGGTTGTAAAAAAATAACTACTTGATAAGAAACAACTTTCACTATCTAACCGTAAAGACAGAGTTTGACATGTTTGGTTTGAGTTCTTGGCAAGAGTGGGATGTGGAGATGGATGTGATTCGTTGATACAGCTGGCTCCTATAAAGGAGCAGATATGAACATGGTATCTCTTTAAATTCAAAGTCAAAGAGACCATTTGAAAACACAGATGAACAAAGCACATTGTAGGACATTTTAAACTCTTTAAAGTAGAGACACTTCATACTGATATACACCTGAACATCAACAGGAGAGGACTCTTTAAAGTAGAGACACTACATACTGATATACACCTGAACATCAGCAGGAGAGGACTCTTTA